CCAGTGCACTTACGATATCCTGCCAAATGGGGCGAAGGCTGCTTTGATGTCATCGGTGGTGATCTCTGGGCTGAGGTCCCCAACGAACACATGGAAGTGATCTGAGATGGAAAGGGGGGGGGGGGGAGAGACAGCTATGTAGGAGGTCGCTGGTACACGGCCTGAAACAGGATTTCTTAATCCTGGTGATCCATTGCGTGTGACAGCTTTAATTATAACCCATCATTTCTGCATGTCAAGGGAATCCATATTTGCTCATTCACAAAAGACGAAACAAAAGTGTTATAAAATATCATGTAAATGCAGCAGTTCAACTTCTTTCCAAGTAATGTCACAGCATCATGTATGATTAATAAAAGTTGAGGGGAAAAACCCATAAAAAAAATAAAAATAGACCACTCCCCAATAATCCAGTTTGATCCAAGATCCCCAACTGAAATTTTGCCCAGGTCCAGGACTCTATTCTCACTACAGGAAAAACTTTGGCTAAAATCCAGTGGGCTGTCCAAGCCATGGAATGCAAAATGCTTAGGAAAATGTGGACACTTACTGCTTGTGTCTTTTTTCTGGCTGCTCGGTGTGGTGGCCCAGTTGACCTTAACCTCCTAAAGCAGAGAGAGAGAGAGAGAGAGTGGGGCAGCGCAATGAATTCTTCACCTGTATCCCGCCAGCCAGCAGCCATGTCAGGCATCAAAAGCTGCCTCCTTACACACAATGTCAGCTTCTGAATGCAGTGAGCAGAACCTGATCACACTCATAATTCACTTTGCTGTCTAGTGAAATTTTGGAATTTCTAGGAAGTAAAAAGGTCTAAACAAAGGACTTACAAACAAGCGAAATTACGAACTTGTATTACTCCTCAAATGGTCCTTCAATACCTGTTGAGGATAAAATATTTAAAACTGAATATATGTTTTTGGAGCTGTATTCGGTATTCTTAAGCTATAGGTTTTGCAAAACATGACAGAAATGGGAAAATGTAGAAAAGGGCATTGATGGTAGAAGAAGTTGTGACTTGACAGAACTGTCTAATTGAAGAACAAAAAAAAATTAAAATTAAAAATCATGGAACGTCCTGACAACCTCCCAATGAAACCAAATCTAGCTGCCAAAATTTCTACAGCCAAAAAGGAAACACCACTGTTGTAATTCAACAGGGAATTCAACACAATACCAGACATCGTTTATAGAATCTAGTGCATAATACAGGCAACCTTAACAAGACTTCAGAAAGAGGGGGAGGGAAGATGGGGAGGAATACAAAAAAAAAAACACTTAACATGGCTTGATATCCACAGACAAAATTAACTCAAGGAAATTACAAACTGAAAACTTGTGGGAGTTTTCCTAGATTAATTAAATGAATGTAGATCAACCAAACAGGCTTTTAAACACTCTGCCCTTAACACAGCAAATTAACAGACAACTGAATAAAACCTATTAAATGTTACATGCAAAATTACCTGTATAAATAGTGGCACTGGTTCATAAGAATAGATTAGATAGATATTAGAACTGCATGTTATAAAAACAGAAGTTAAATCATACATAAATACATTTTCCTTTAGCATTTGCTGGAGAGTTCCTAAAATCATATAAATTCACTAAAATGTAATTCAAAGACAACCCTACCAATCTCCACAGAGCACCCAAATTGCTCACTAGCTGCTTCCAGCAGCAAACATTACACGTTTTTCACTGTTACATAATCAGGTGCCCCTCTATAGGGTACAATGACATATACTGCTAGTTATAAAACTGGTGACAGACCAGATTACACTGAGCACAATCATACACATTGTTCTAAAATAGTATGTAAAAAGTTCTGTATATAAAGTATAACCTAACAGATTCTTGAAACTCACTTAACACTTGTTACTGTACTTACCTACTGAATCTAGTTATATGTAATTTGCTGTTTTATGCAAGTACTGATCTCTGCTCTGATTTAAACACAAGTCCTGATATTATACAATGACACCAAAGCCAAAAGTTCCACTTTCACCTAGACTTCACATCAGTGATTTTTTTTTACAGTGACACCTCTTCTTGTCTATGACTTACTCAGGGGGAAAAAGAAAGCATTTAAACCAAAACTGTATCCTGTGACAGACAGTTTTAACTGTTTAAAGCAAAGCAGCACATCCCATAACATTGCCGTGCACCCAGTGATCCCTTGCCGCCTCTGCATTTGGCAGAGCGTTAACCAAAATCACTCCCCACTCGATCCGACTCACCCTTTAGATACGATAGCTTACCTTACCCATTATTTTACGTCCATTCATGGCAGCTAGTGACGCAGCGGCATGCCGGTGCTCGTAGAACTCAACAAAGCAGTATGGATCATTACCGGCCGTCTAGGGGTAGAAGGAGCACCATTAGTGGGCTAGATCATAACTGAACAGGCAGCAGCATAGCAGCGTAGTGCTGCCCTTACGAATTCCAAATCATCCACTGGGCTCTTGGCATTTAACAATTAAGTTGCTCACATCTACAATCATTTTACAGCTCTTGCATGGGCCGATCTGACTGAAGAGCTGCAGGATGAGCGCCTCTGTCACATCGCGGGACAGGTTCCCCACGTACCTGGGTCAGAAGGAAGAGGAGAGTTCAGGCACAGGTACATGGTTACAACAACAAACCCACAACCCAAACAAGACGAATCATCACAGGGATATTTTTATGCTAAAAGACCACAGTAGATAAGCTATTAGGAAAAACAGATACTTCGAGAAGGCAAGGGACTGTCAAAATTACATTTTATACTATTAGGAAGGAAAATCAGCTTCTCGTTTTCTAAGTTATAAAATGAAATACGATGATTGATAACAGTTAATGCCACAATCAAAACCTATCCTACGACGATGCCATTGCCTTACTTGGTCGGTGAAGTTGGAGACCTTTTGTATCAACAACATACGTACATGTTGGACACCACAACCGAAGATCAAAATAAGACAAAAGCTCCACCTTCACTTCTTAGAAAGAGAAAATGGCACCGATCCTTCTTTCAAGAGAGACCTTGAAATCGACACTAATTTGTATATACCTGGTGGGGTGATAATGACCACATTTTTGAAGGCATTAAACATGGTAAACGTCAAACAGGCCGACTAACCACCGTGAAATGTGCCAGATCAGACTGTATAATAAAGGAAATACGCTTAACGTTTAGTGCCTCCACCCAGACCGCAGCGTTTCCCAGTTCGGCTTCGAGCGGCGCGGGCCGCAGAGGTAGCTGCGTGCAGGACCGGTAGTAGGTGGACGAGGAAAAGCAACCCGGAGTACGAACCCCGCAAGGAATAAAAGCGTCTAGCTCCAACAAAACACCACGGCCCAAATGGGATCATTACAAGATCCATTTAAGGACCTCACAATTTAGAATTAACAGCCGAAACACGCGGCTCTCCATTAATGGAGGTGCGCCAGCTTCAAAATCCAGGCGATTTTTCTGAAACTGCTATCCGTACTGTCCCACATATTACCTTTTACACGTCACGCGGCATTTAACGCGTCTCCCCAGCTTCTGGGAGGCCCGAAGTGCGTGTGCGGCGCTAGCCGAGCCTGGCTGCTAACACCCCGATTTTCCCGGAAAGCCGACCGCAGACCGCCGGCCTGCTACTTCCTAACACCTAGCCGGGCTACGTCAAGGCGATCGTGGGGTTCATCAAAACCAGCACCAGACACGGAACCGACCGGTGTGCGTTTCAATATATATATTGAATATATATATATATTTTAAAGGGAGCCCAAATGAGAGCCTCAGCCACCCGTAACCGGCCAACTGGCTAGGTCATAGTGGCCAAAACATGGTCGCCGACGGCCTTTTATTGTCGCCCTTTATATATATAGGAAGTTGGAATAAATTGCGTGTCAGAGCATATACACATAGCTCGCGTGTTATAAAGTGTCACATTTGCGCTTTTGCCCAAATCGACGCGATTTAAAGCCGTTTCAGATCGGTTTCGTTTCCACTTAAAAAATGGACACGTCAAACTGGCGCACCCCCCCCCTTCCGAACCGCCACCATCACAATGCAGCGACAAACAATTATCAGCGCCAAAATAAGGTAACTCCCGTCAAACCGGTGATTCGTCTGGCAGTGGGAGGAATGGGATACAAAAACACACAAACAAAAGAAAGGGAAAATGCCTTCCCGTGCACAATGGTAACAACGATTCACATTTTATCTAATACATACAGAGTCTTGGGCTGTTCGTCTTCCATCATATTTTCTGATCGAACGAGAGACCGAGCCCTGAGAGACAGATCCAGGAAAGCCGTGAACTTTTAAGATCGCCGTATGTAACGTGCCGTCGTCGTTCACGGAATCGTCTCAGAAGCGGTTTGTGAAGCACACACAACCGACGCCGCCACCTCTGGTAGCTCACTCCAGCTCCGAACAATGGAATGGCGACATAAGATGGCGGAGGGATCGAAGCGGATGTGCTAGTGCGCGTGCGCAATGATCTCATGCGAGGCTGCTGGAAGGGAAAAAGGAAGGCACATCCAACGGGTTAGTACTTGTTTAGTTCAAGACTGACAGTTACCTAAAAACTCGGGTGGAAATTGCGGTAATATAATCTTGTGGTACTTCTTGTGTCATTGAATGGTCAATGAATATATACGCTAAACAAAACTATAAATTTATTTTATGCTTCTTAAAATGAAAACATTGTGCGCCGCCCGGGAATCGAACCCGGGTCGCAAGAATGGGAATCTTGCATGATACCACTACACCAGCGGCGCTGTGATTTGCGAAATGGTGGTTGGCTTTTTCAGTAACAATAAGAAATTTAATTCTGTAGGTAGACAAAAATGGCATGATTTTAGGATGACCAGTAGAGTCGTTACCATTTCTCATCGGTTCAATATTTTAATGGTAGGTGAAGAGTACGAGAATTACTAATTGTTTCTCAACGCAATGTGCTTCATACCAGAACGGTTTTATTTTGTAAAAGAGTGACGGTTTCAAAATGAAGTAAAAAAACTACAGAAACGGCTAAGAGCAAATAGATCAATATTAATGATCTATGAGAAAAAATGTATGCAATAAAAATTAAAATGATCCAGTCTATATATGCATATAATAAGACAACGTGGATATGTCAATGATTTTTCATGTCTACAGATACAGCTTAAACAAAACTACTATATTAGTTTAATAAAAATGGGTCGTCTGCCCAGATCTGAGTTGTTCTTACAAACTCTGAGCATCAGATGGCAGTCTAATACTACAAAAAGAAATTGGGGTGTCAATCATGGCTCAGAAAAACTTGTTTAAGCAATTAAGACGGCACTGAGAAAGCAATGTGCTACAGTACAGTTTCAAATAAAAGCTTAAAATATGTTGTCTAAAATAGTTAATAGCAGAGACACAGCTATACTGTCACTCCTTTATTTTCATTTTCATCAGAGTTTATGTGCAAACGGATTTTGTCTTTGTTTACATTTTTATCCCTTTCATATCTGCAAGGTTGGCTTCCCGCCCTATGCTGCTGGGGATAGGTTTCAGCCCCCTGCGACACAGACCAGGATAAGAGGTTAGAAAATGGATCAAATTATTTATATTACACTCCATAAACCTTGAGAATCTATGTATTTACCACCACAAGCCCAGAAGTTCTTCTGCATTACTCAACTTTTCATTGGTTGACGTCACGTTCAGTAACAGGTTCTTTGCGCGACTTCATTCGCAGGGGCTTCTGGGAAATGTTGTGCCGTGTGCTGCAGATGCACGGTTCGATTGGCTGAAACTCTCTAAAAAACTACAAATTCCGCCTGGCTGTTCGAGAGGTTGGTGCTTGCGGGCTCGAGTCGAAGGGCTTTCTTTTAAAGGGAATATCAAGGTTGTTTCGGTTCAAGGAAGAAAAAGCAGGACGTGTGGTGTGTGACAGCTTTTCAGTTTCTTGTATATTTTTCCTTGCTAATTATACAGCTTTGTTACGTTTTTTCCAGCTCTTGAGAAGCCAGTGTATGAATGTTTGTGTTCCGTTCAACGTTAAAACCCTTCTTTAGCATGATCGCTAATAAGCTAGCTTGCGAAAAAAATGCGTCTTTCTCAGTAATTTGGAATAGCTACGTACAGCTGTAAATGTACTATAATATTTTATTAAACATTCAGGTGTTATTATATGTCTGTGTTGATAATCATGTTTGTCATATAGTAGCAGCATTTGTCACTGTAAACAGATGCCTGGACAGCTGTAGGTAGACCATATTTTCAGGTATTTTGCGTTCTTGTCAGTTGTCAGTCTAGTTAATTTTATCCTTTACGACCTCAAGGTTAATTGCTATTACCGTTTGCAGTTATCTAGCTACTTAACTACTGTGTTATAGTCTAAAGCAATTTCACAGCCATGCAGCTGAGTTATTTGGATGTTGAAAAGGACGTCTCCTCATGAAGTATTTTTTTCTTTGCTTTGATGTTCCCGTGTACTATTCCCCATTTTCCATGTAAATAAGACGTGATTAATATATAATTGTAAGTAACAGAGTATTTTATTCCTGCAGTTTTGATGAATGTCGTGAATACACAGAGTTTTTTACTTCTTAGCGAATTCTTTATACTTTTTGGTAATGCTCACCCTAAATTTCTAAGCTACCTTCTCCTGTCGTTCTCTTGTTCCTTGTGACTCTCCTTGCCCTTCCTCCCTGCTCTTCTCCCTCTGTCCATCTTTCTCCCTTTCCAGGCTGGCAGCAGCAGCTTGTCCGATGGTGCCTGTGGCGTGTAACGTGAAAGCAGCCCTGCTGTCCTTTGCCCCCTTTCATGTGCCCTCCCTGTGTGCCCTCAGCTGCTAGCGTCCCCGGCTGCACACGCGCATCTTGTTCTCGCTCTGCCCCCCCAAGGCCTCCATACCCCCATGCTTTGGATGCAAAGCCTTCACCGGCTGCCCAATGACTGCCTGGATTGTCCTGCCCGTCAGCCTCTCGGCCTTCTCCATCACGGGAATATGGATAGTGTGAGTATGGCCAAGCCGGGGAACATGCTACTTGGGCTGCTGACTCATAGCCCCACCAGAGAGAGAAAGGAGGGTGGTGAAGAATAGACTTGCTTTTGTGACTGTGTTGTTGCAAATGACTGAATTGGATGCTTTGAAATACAAAAGACAAGAAACAGAAAAACTGATCATTAAAGAGCAACATTGTGATTCAGTGGGTAGGACTACAGACAGTTTTGAGCTTGATCTGGACCCCAGCTCTGGTGTGTGGGGTTTCATGTGTGTGGGGGCTTTCTCCTAGTGCCCTAGGGAGCTGGATTTGTTATCTCTTGTAGAACTCCAGGAGGTTAAATGGTCTCAATTAAACTGCCTGTTCTTGTTCTGTGGGGGTATTATAACCTAGACTCTTGAAAGTGATTAATTGTCATTGTTGACACACCACAGTACACAGTGCACAACAACAAAATGTGTCCTCTGCATTTAACCCATATGTGACAAAGCAGTGGGCATTGTTCAGTCACAGCAGTGTTATTTAGCACCCAGGGAGCAGTGCGTGGGGGCGGTACCTTGAATGTACCTCGGTGGATTTAAACTAGCAGATTTCCAATCACAAGCACGCTCCCTTAAGCATTAGGCCACTACTTGCCCGAAATAGCGGTTGTCCCTGGGTAGACTTAAAACCACCAACCTTTTTGGTTAACAGCCAAACGTGCTAAACAATTACACCACACAGACAGTGCACTGATCGTTGCACTGAATACCAGTACGTTCTCAAGAGTGAAGTTCACTGTAATTACATCCATAATACAAAATTCTGGAATAATAATTTTCATAATTTTTTTTTTTTTTTTTTTTTACATGTACACTTTTTTTTTTTTTATCTTTGCAGCTATGCAATGGCAGTGATGAACCACCATGTCTGTCCTGTAGAGAACTGGTATGTGAAGAGTGCATTTTCAACGCCGTCAATGGTAAAAGAAGCTTGAGAAATCGATCGTTTGCACTTGCCTGTTGCCAGGTCCTACAACTTGACGTGCGTGGAAGAGACTGCCAAGCCAGGATTTCCCAAAACCTGCTGCACTCTGCAGGATATCCCACTCATCAGGTCTCCTTCTTGTCAGACTCTCTTGTTGTATCAGTGAATCGATTATTGAATAATGTGCTCAGGCACGGGCTTTTTTTTCATTTAATGTAAATTGAAAATTTGCAGAAACCACTCAGCATCCAAAATGTACAACCTTAATTTGGAAATTGTGGGCCTGTTCCTCCACTGTGCACATGAGGCTCTACATGGAGACAGTCTTTACTTTGCCATGTTGTTGGTCTGTTATGCTCTTACTCGCCTTATAGATGAGAAGTAAACTTCTCCTTCCCATAACATTGTTCTCTTATAGTAAGTGTGGCTCATTTCCCCCCGAAAGCTGTCTGTTCAGCCTGATTGGCAACGTGGGAGCCTTTATGGGTAAGGTCTGCTTGCTCTCTCACTCTCCCTCTGTCTGTGTATCTCTTTCTCTTTCGAGTAAACAGATTTAAGTGCTTTGTCTGGGAGTTCCAGGAACATATAAATACAGGCTGTTAGTTATAGCAGACAGTTTTCTCAGCGGATTTATTGTTTGCTATTAAAAATCTTGATTTTCCTTCCCCTCGTTCTCTGTAAGTGAAACCAGGACATTTGAAACCCAGTCCTCTTGAAATATCTCAGTTTGTACCCGAAACCCCCGTTTAGAATCAATCCTCATGTTAAATCACAGGGAGGAAGTGAAATGCTTGTTTTCTGAACTAAGTCAGTGCCGCACCCTGGCCGGAAACTCGGTATCTGATAGCCAGAACACACCCCTTTGAATCTGTGCAAAAATGCAGCTTGTCTCCCAGCAGATAAATGTTTTAGCTCTGTAGTAGACCATATATTTATTATGTATAAATATGTTTAATGTTTAAAATGAAATTTTAAAACTGGGGTGAGGACCTACGGCATACGGCCAGACAGGGGCAAGAGCTAATCACCTTTTTTAGCTGAAGTGAATAGTTTCTTTAGACTGGCTCTGTGATTCTCACTGTCATGTTCTCTCCATCCAGTGGTCATGGTGTGCCTACTACGGTATGCCCAGGTCATCGAGCACAGCCACCGCTGCTGGATCAACACCAGCGCCCTGGTTTCTGGCTTCACTAATGCTCTGGGCCTGGTCATGGTGGGAAACTTCCAGGTGAGCATGGGTGAGGGCCAGTTTGGGGGTGGTGGGTGTGTTTTTCTAGGTGAAGTATCAGAACATAAGTGTAGTGGGTAAGGATGTTGCAAATTTTTATCACCTCCTCCCACCATCCTACACACACACACACACACACACACGCAGGCAAGGACTTGACCAGCATCCACTTTGAAATATTTTTACAACTCAACTACTGGTCCTTCCTTAATAATAAGTGTATCAAGTAGCTTTGGACATGTCTGCAAAGAAACAGGAATGGCAATTCCAGAGGTGTGAACGATGGGTAGATTTGTTCTCAGTTCACGAGTTTGTGGATTCAAGCACAGATGCCCGACAATGGCCCTAATTCTGTGTCAAACAAGCCAGAAAAATATGGCTCGTGAGCTTTTGGCCGTGACACTCTTTGGTCTCCATTTTGTCCTCACCTGCTGTAAAGTCTTGACTGATTAAGAGCTGGTCTTGTGTTTTCTTGTTGTATCTGGACTTCAGTTTTCAGGCCCAGTAGCAGTATGGAAAGGGGCCATATGTGTTGTGTTTGTGTCAGTGTAGTGTAGTGTTGTGGTATATAAGGTAATGAGGCAGGGTAAATACAATCGATCTTTCTACAGGTAAATATATTTGATCTATCTACTGAAAACCTGTGGTTTCTCCTGGCTGTAGTGAGACTGGTGTCTTTCCTGACTTGCCCTGTTGACATTTTGTCCTGATTGGCTCTCGCTCCAGGTGGACCACGCCAAGTCCCTGCACTACGTGGGTGCGGGGGTGGCCTTCCCCGCTGGTCTGCTTTTCGTGTGCCTGCAGTGTGTGCTAACATACCGCATCGCCGTCACCGCGCTCGACTACTGGATGGCGCACGTCCGCGTGGCGCTGGCATTTGGTGCCCTTGTCTCCTTGGTGCTCAGTATCCTTCCTAGCCTTGTTCTCCCCAGAAGGTCTAGGCTGCCTGGTCCACCTTGGTCTGAATGTAAGTGTAGTTGCAAGGCTTGGAGTCATAGGACGCTTTTCCACCGCACCAGGTACCGTACTTTCAGTACTTCCATAAAGTACCAAAAGTATAGTACTAATTTTGTGTCAGTTTTCCACTGCCATAAAAACTGGTACCGGCGCCAAATTACATCATCAGTGACCGCCCCTGACCTGGCATTGTTTGGTGTTTCGCGTGTGCCCCATTTCTTTCAAGTGGCTTGCTATTACAGCAGATACTTTCTGGATCCCCCGCTGGATCTGTTTATCCAACCATATGGCGATTAAAACCTGTGTCTCCTCGTTTGTCCATCCTTCCATTTTACTTTTTTAATATTTTTGTTTCTACTGCTTTTTATTTTTTCTAGCTGTTCGCTGTGTGTTTTCAAAAGATGGCTGTTGTATTTTGAGTTTCAGCGGCAGGCTATTTGCATAACCAATCGACAGCAAATACGTTTGCAAGTCCCACCCCGAAGTACCAAAGAAGTACCCCAGCTGGTTTGGCACTTTTGGTACTGGTACTCGACCGGAAGTCAATGGAAAAGCGAAAGTACCGTACTTTGTGCGGTGGGAAAGCGCCAATAGAACACTAAACCTGGCAATCTTTTTCAATTTTATCCATGTCCCTTTTTAGCATTGTCAAGTATATGTTAAAAAAAATGTTAAGTTTACTTCTGCTGCTTTTGCATGCGGTGTGGCGTGTCTGTGATAAATCTTAACAAAACTAAGTAAGGAGAACAGGAGAGCGAACAAGAACTGGTTATGAAAAGACATTCGTTTACCGCAGTGTGGAAATATTTTTAAACTAAACAAGCGATTTATTGGCACTGCTTTGTGTCTATTGGCACAACTTACGACAACACCACCAACTTCTGTTTGGCTATATTTAATTATATTATATTATATTATATGTGAGTCCTAAATATCGCAAAAACTTCAAATATGTTCAAAAATTAGAACTTTTTCCAATTTCTTTCAGTCTTACTCAAAACGCACAAAACGTTCACAAAACACCTAATTGTCACAGTGCGGGACAAGCGAGCCGTGGAAACAGGCGAGAGCAGGCAGATGGACGAGTAAACGGGGTTTATTCCAGACGATCAGGGTGAATAGGCAGGAACATCCACGAACCACACCAACAATACATGACACTACAATGACAGATCTGGGGAAGACTAACTCAGACGAGGACTAAATACAAAAGACAAGCTAGACCTAACAGGACACAGATGATCACACTCAGGGCTGAACACGAGGTAACGAGGTGGGCGTGGCACACATCGGGAGCGGACGGAGCGGGGCGTGACACTAATATTATGTGGTCATGTACCATATTATGGAGATGATACTACAGGGCTAGTCCTCATTTTAACAGCGATTATTTTGAGATACATGAACTGTAGAAAGTAAATTACGAAACGAAGTCAAAGTGATGAGGCTAGGCTACTCTTGACGCTAAATGGGACATATCTATGGCTCGCATTGTCTGTCACACCTAAATGTCTTCTTTTAAGACATAGTTGCATTGCAGTCGTGCTGTGGCGATATTTAAGTTCTCCTTTGCAATACTGACGGACGATTGCAGTCTCATTCACCTTTAATGTGAAGCGATTCCACACGAATGATGCTTTCGCTTTTCATTTGGACCCTCGTCTACCATGCGCCATCTTTCTTCCGCCATATTGCCGAGTAAGAAAGGCAGATTTTAATCTATTTTTTTACATTTTAATCAGATTATCGTGACAGCTCTAGTTTTCATCAGTTCTTACCATAGATCTACCTGTGATGTCTGACCTATAATTAAATCCCATTGATAATTCCCATGATTTCAGGATATTGGTGCAGTTAACTTTGGATAAATATGGGGAATGGGAGGGTGGATAATAGTTGTCTTGACCAGTGACAAACAGGCCTGCCAACAAATTAAAAAAACCCTCTCTCCACAGTTTGGGGTCCTCATATCTGGGCTGCTGTGCTCTATGTGATGTGGGCTCAGATAGCAATTGTCCATCTTCTAGCCTGTTTTGAAAGCTTTGTTATGTCACATCCACCCTTTGCTTTGTTTTTCCTTCATGTCTCACTACAGCCAAGTATGCATTATATCGAATGATGTGTTTGATTACTGAAACCAGAACTACCGACGATCAGCTATTACATGTCAGTAGATGCTTCTAAACAACTGCCGTTCTATTATAGGATAATCTGTAGAATCATAGTAAGTTAATTAATCACATTAAAGTAAACACCCTGTGATTCATACTGTAGAAAAATGCCTGATCACATTCAGCTGGTAGACTCTGGCTTGGTGGCCTTAGCAACAGGTCACACCAGTGGTTTCGGGGTGTTCTCCTTGACGGCACCTCCCCTACCCTAAGGTGGTATCTTCTTTATCCACGAGAGCTTCGTCCTCCAGCATGCCGCTGCCATATGCGAGTGGGTCTTCACGGTGGACATCCTCGTGTTCTACGGCACCTTCACCTACGAATTTGGTGCCGTCAACAACGAGACCTTGATGGCCGCCTTGCAGCACAGCCACCACAGGGGCTCAGGGGTGATGATGGGGGCCAGGGGCCGGCCCGGGACGCTTGGGGCCGGCGGGTGTGGGAGCAGCGGTGCCAAAAGTCTGAAGTCACCAGGGGGCAGCAGCACATCAACTCACCTCAACTGCAACCCAGAGAGCATCGCCATGCTGTAGCCTGGTATTCCTGGTAATCCCGTCACATGTCTTTACCGTAATTCTTTTACTCACGGAGTGATATGATCTGTCTCTTTGATTGGGTGTTCCCTGACTGAAAGGCAAACACGTAAATGAAGGCTGTGTCTAATATGTCACTGGATTTCTGAAATTAATTACAGCTGAGTTACGCAGGTACAAGGTGCCAGACTATTAAAAAAAAAATGTTGAGGGAAAAAAAATAGACCTCATGATGGTCCGAACATTTAAATTTTTTATAATGGATTTTATTATTGTTATTTTTAATGTTTTTCAAAGTTAAGCTATCCACAAGGCTCTCTGTTGCATAGTATTTGTTGCGGCTGAGGTCCGTCTCGCAACTTTGTATTAAAAGTAAGGCATATGAAATAATTGCATATGATATAATTTTGCGTCAATATGGGCCCCAACCCTTCCCTTAACCTTGTGCGGGGAAGAAAATCGCACACATTTGCCAAACCGGACCTGAACCCTGCCTTTGAAGTCAAAGAGAGTAATGTGTGATACATTAGAGAGTAATGTGTGATATTACTTGGAAGACTGGTTTGTATATTGACACCATTTATTCTGTTTATAAAGAGGGTTTATAAGGAAAGCTTATATCGCATATAATATAAAGTGTTAAACTAAGTGTTCGTTTCAGAGTTTAGTTTCCGTACACAGTTTGGAATGATGCGGAGTGTTTCGCTGTTTTAGGCTTTTGATTCCGTGTGGCTTCCTCACACCTTGGGTAAATTGGTATGGGTATGGGGTCCATGCGACATAATCATGATTTATGTGCCAAGTTACTGTTTCCAAGATTCGTAGCTGGCTGTATGTTTTGGGTCTGCTGTAGTGCAATTTAGGGTATCGGTTTTCACCCTCAACAACAAAACGGCTTGATAAGTAAGTATTTTTGAGGGTTGCTGTGTTTTTGAACTGTACGGTGGGGGGGGGGGATAAAATGGCTACACCAGGACCTGCCCCAGACACAGCCACTTACGGGGGCCAGCGGTCGCATCTTCTGTCGGTGTCTGACGTTAAGAATTATGCCTAATGTTTATCATTATTATTATTATTATTATTATTATTATTATTATTTACTTCTGTGGAAAAGTTGCATATTCAGAAAGTGTTAATGCGCACATTTATTCTTGTTCTGAGTGGGTGCTGAGTCTAATTAATATTTTTTGCCCAGACTTGGCTGCTCTTTTCGATTTGCTGTGTTGCCTTTTTCACCTCTGTGTTTGGCGCAGAAGCCCCTCTGTTCACACTGCCCACACCGGTCCTGCGATAACATGTCAGAGCTGATAATTAGTGCCGGAAACTGCATAAAAGAGGCAGTCGGAGTGTAACGTTTCATTTAGGGCAATTCATTTCCAGTGTCGGTAGAGCTTTCAGACCTAATGGCGTTTGAAGGCTCTGTTGGTGGGTGAGGCTGAGGATTTATCTGACTGCTTAACGGAGGCTTAAACACATATTAAGTGTAACTGTACCAGATAATGCAGCAATATTTAACCCCTGTTCCTTCTCAAGTCTGATGTTCTGCATTGATTATGGTCACAGCGTTTTTGGGCTCCAGGCTGGTTCCTTGGAAAAGTAATGTGGCCACGTTATTTTATGTATTCTTTCACTGTTTAGAGACCTCGCCACTGTGACTAGCGGTATGATGAGCGCGTTGTAGGTGAGATCGCTGAATAAGCGATGTGGACCTTTGTTGCTATTGCGCCACCTAGAGGTCCCTATATGCCAGTGTAAGTGACAGCTAGTTGCTGGATTGGGGAATTGCGTCCAGTTGGTTGAGTGTCAAACGGGGATTTGTTCAATTATCTTTATGTTACTAACGGTTTTAGAATCAACTTGTTGCTATGGTGTTTCTTTATTCCAGGCATCATAACATCGTTTTTTGGCAAATATTGAGCGCCAACAAAGAAGCCTTTTTGATGTCTGGAATATGGCCTACCTCTCATTGTTTGAGGCCGTCTCTGAGCAATTGAAAGGGAAACTGTTTACGTTAGTGTGCAGTTGTGGGTCAGACAATTTTAATACGTGCAGGGACACATTTGCATGTTTTTTTTTTTTTTTTGTAGGAACCCCACCCTCACACATGCAAACAACTGAAATGTTTGTATGTCTACATATGTCAGCTAAGATTTTGTTTGCTGTTCACTATTACCTGTGGTTAACTAGAGGTTTTTGTTTCTTTAAGAATACAGAATACAATATTTAAATAGAGAATATTTTGTTTAACAGATTTTAGTACACTGATCAGTTTTTTTTATGTCGTCCTCCTCTTGATCTTGATTTTGCTTTTTCAAATGTAATGTTTTGATATATTATTTTTCTGCAGCAGTGCAGTATCTTTTATGCCTGTGGGAGAAATGCATCATGCTTGAAAGAACTTTATTTCCGCATTTGCCATCGGTGACATTCCTCCATGCCGTCATGTCGCTGGATCTGCCGCATGGCCACATTTCAGGCAAAATCCTCAAGATTTTCTGTTCAGGTTGTATGTGAGTAGCTCGTTTTTGTCGTTCCTCTGTTCTGTGGAGATCCAGAGCCTTTGCACCTCAGAAGGCCATGCCGTGTTGCTGGGAATCCTGTGTGCCCCATGTGAGGGACATCCACACCCAGTGCTTTTTATTTATCATCTTTGTAAAGCTGCAGGGGTCCTCTCAGCGTCAGCTGACCCGTCACTCCGTAACCTGTGTGACCTCCTTATGTGCCGACCATCGGGACACGTTTTACAGTGTGTGCCAACTACTCGCACTAATTAGTTTTACTACTATTATTGTTGTTATTTTTGTCACAACCATTGTGATACGGCAGTTCTTTTAAAATATTTTTTTAAGCATTTTAAAATCTGTTTTTGCACATGATCATTTGCAGCTCACAGCGATGACCTGGGGATTGGGTTTGCATGTTAGATGGTGCACTAATTGTTAGCTTGCTGAATACAGGTGTGAGCGAGGACACGCCCACTTGTGTGTAGCACAGCAAGCTGACGGGAATACAAACTAATGGCAGTGTAATATGACTAATCCGATTTTGGTGGGTGGAGTTTTTAATGCTAATTCTGTCTGTATTCTTTCTACTTTTAAGTGGGATTTAAAATTAAGTTATTGGTGGTTTTATTTTTTACTTTTCTTTCATCTTGGTGTAATTTTTTTGAAGTTCTGTCATGAACACCAAACGTCAAAGCGTTACATTATATTTTTCTTTCCTTTTGTAATCACTTATAAATGTGATTTAGTATTTTTTTCTGTTGCCAGATTTCTATTTCACAATTCAAATAAACAGCATAAAGAGTAATAAAGTTGTCATTTTTTGAGTCCAGTGACCTGGCATGATGGACAGATCTGTCACATGCTTTGTACATACCCAGGTTGTGAAGTGTCCCTCATTGTGGAAATTAATAATGCATTTTTTTAAATCCTCTTTCTTGAAAAGTAGTATCAAATGAACCTCTCTACTGTAACACTGTTCATATCAGAAAAAGGACAGAAAGCACGCATGCAATAACTTCACCATGGAAAAGCACTACCAACTGGTCTGTTTGCACCGTGATTTAATGCTATAAGGAAGTATAGAAGTGTTACTCATTAAGCTGCTCCAACCCTGTTATTTGGCAGGATGAAGTCCACTGTCTGTCCTCCATTGTACTAGAGGAGTGTTTCCATTTTGTGGTTTTTCAGGTGAGGTTGTGGGCCGTTTAACTGCCTCATTTAAATGGGTGGGTAATAAAACTAATTATATACAGTAGTCAAAGTGCTTGAAGTTGCTTAGAAACAATTTACATCACATTACCAAAGACAGCAATTAAGGAGGGTTTGAAGAATTCCAGAATTTCCTCCCAGGATCAATAAAGTCCATTGTAATCTTAATCAAACTTGTGAAATGGACAATATTGCACTTCTTTATAGTACAAAGGATATATTAACATTGCAGTTTTATGTACTATTCATAGATAACAGAAATTCAATGACAAACACAAATTGACCATTTTAAGAACAAATTTCCAAAATTTTGTGATGAGACCGCCAGTGAAGTCAGGCTTCCTCATCATATGTTACAGTACAGGGAACCAAAACTCATTCAGTAATTCAGCAAAGAAGTTTCCTTAAATTTCCAAAACTCAATATGTTCACAGAAATGGTACTCGCTTATAAATGTATCCCGTGGACTGAGTGAGTTTTAGAAACTGTACATGGATATTCTATGTAAGAAAAAAATAAACAGTCCATATCCAATTGAGCTGTTTTTTAAGTATATAGTGAGTTTATGCTTTTAAGATGTCATTTATATACACTGTACACCTCTGGATGCAGGGACTTTTGATTTGGTTACATATATTTTGAGCAACAGAACATTGTTATTAGAAAAAACAGCAGTGCTGCCGGAATTGTAACAGAATTGTACCATTTCATATTCAAGTAGAAGGACTCCCCCTTCTCAATGGCAGACATAGAGCCACAAATTTCCACCCATATGCCCTTTTCTCTGATTCTCCATGTCAGCCTGCCCAGCTGACTTCCTTCAGCTCTCTGCTAGGTCACACTGGGTGACGTGACGTGCTGTTCTGTTGAGCTTTCTCAGGTTTTGAGTTTGAATTGTGCAATGAGTTGGAATGCAATGCAATGGCTACCACGATAATGAGGATTAACACCACAGCCACACCAATAACCGCAAACAGCACCTTCATCTTCCTCAGCTGCCATTGGGTCTGCTTCTTCACCTTCTTTGATGTCCTGGAGAAGACCTTGCTCTGGTGAGGTGGTACATGGTCCAGCCAATAGCAGCAAGAATGCAGGGAGACACGACACACCCCCGTTAACATAGAAATTTACAAAGGAGAGGAGGCCATTCGGCCCATCTAGCTCATTTGGGGAGAATTCAGTAATAGCTTAAAGTTATTAAAATCTTATCTAGCTCTGATTTAAAGGGACCCAAGGTTTTACTAACACTAACACTAATAGTGCCAGACTATTCCATACTCTAACCACACGCTGTGTAACAAACATAAGTCTATCGCGAGTGTCCAATGAATTTCTTTGTACGGTTTTTGATACGTCATTCTCAAAAAAGAAACACAATCCCAGCAGGCTGCGTGTGCATTCACAGGGCTGCTAGAAATGCGGTGAAATTGTGGATTTAGAAACTTGCCGTTTTTCTTATAAAATCCTTGTGCAGTCAAAGTCGGGCCTAACTTTTCTAAAATAATGCTTCGATATCCTCAAATCTGATGTGCCATTTAGAGGAACTGATGCAATCACTAAATAAGACTCTAAAGACACATCTGCTCAAATCACACATCCATCTTGCAAAAGCTTATGCTGGCTGGAGGTCACAACAGGGCACAAGATGGAAGGGTACATTCATACACTACAGATAGTTTCGAGACACCAGTTAGCCTAACTCTTTTCAATACTAGCTTGAGCAAACCCATACTACACTGGGAGAATGAGCAAACTCCACAAGCAGAGTAGAAGTGGGATTCAAACACCCTTTGCCCTGGGAGCAACAGTGGTACCTGCAGAGTCTCTGTGGCACCCAGAAAATCATAAATGTTACACAAATGAACCTTAGGACCACTTCCAGGGTTCTGCTAACTTCCCTTGCTACAGCTGATGTCAATGTTCATAATATAAAATGTACAATCAGAATTAATGGGAGGTTCATCTGGAGGAAATACTGCCTTAAAAAAAAACATTCAAATGTCATCTGTCCTTAAAAATATTCTCTGGAAAAATTAATCTAAAACCAATATTCATGCCACAACCAAAAGAGACAGTCAGTATTGCAGCATGACAAGCTGCAGCATGACAAAAAAAAACAAATGAAACTTGATGTCTGCAAGGTCTATAAACAACATGGCAAACATTCCTGTAAGGAGATCAGACTGACTGATTACATCAGCTACAGCCACTTTTGATAAAGAACAAGCCGCTTCTTGTTGGATTAAAATTTTGCTTCTGTATATAATGATTTGAGTTTCTGCAGCTTTAACATTATTAAACCATTTTTCTTAGATGGAATTGCAAGGGGGCTTGGCGCCTCTCCCTGGCAGAATGGGACACCTGGCAGCAGTACAGCCTGAACAAGACGCCAGTCCATCGCAAGGCATATCCATGCACTCATGCAATCTAACACTGGCAGCAATTTAAAGAAGCCAGTCACTATGACTGCATATCTGTCTGTTATCAGAGTAAACCCCCGAAATACAATAATGGACAAATTGCACATATGCTGAGAGAACGTGGAATTCAAACACTCAACCCTAGAGCTGTGAAGCAACACTAATGCATGTTTTGACCAATCAATAAGGAAACAATATTTTGCCTGTCTTAAAGACAGCCTGTTTTTTTTTTAGATTGCTTATTAAAGGGGATGTTAGAATTTATGACATTAGCCATATAATTGATGAAGGTCAGTCAAAATGGCCACATATATTCAATAAGATATTGGCGCCTCATAACTCAAAAGTTATCTGATAAAACCTGGCCCTGAAATGCACTTTGCAGGAGTGGTGCCTTGATAGGGAGATTTAAGTCTTTGGTGTAGCAGATTTGCCTAGTAGGTACACCAGACAAGGCTGGTCCATAGAGGTAGAGGAGGTAGTAGTATTTTTGAGATTATATTATGAAACAAATAACTTCTAAATAACTCGTTAAAAATATATGTGTCTAAGGTAAGATGTTTCCATTTGTGAACATTAAGACACCTTTCCAAAACTCTCTCTTCAAGATGACATCAGAATGCAAACTAATATGTGTTACACTTTTCCTCTATGCTGACTCAATGCATGATAACAAACAAAAATTTGACATTTTCTGGCTTCCGTTTTCAGGGTCAAAATGCTTATCTACCTAATCTAATCTATCAACCATGAGCGCTGAGGTTGAATAAGGACTGAAGGACTTACTCCCTTGCAGAATAAATGTCAGTTTTAGTTCTACAATCACAGTGCTACAGTATTTGGACAACAGTCCAGTCCCACCTTCAAACTGAGATCATGGGCCCGGTCTTCAAGGTCCAATAATTTGCCTGCCCTCTCTTCTTCCTTGTTGAGGTTGTCAATCATGATGACCCTCACTTCCTCCACATCATCCAGAACCTGCTGCACGTGACTGGTCCCGCTCACCTAGCAAGAGCACAATAACGTTATGGTATAGAGCAGACGCTGCCAATCTTATCCACAAAGGGTCAGTGTACCGGCAGGTTTTTGGGTTAAACCCAAATATGAGAACTCTTCAGCCAATCAGTCCTCTAATTAGTAATCAGGGAGGTGCAGCGAAAAAGGCCTGTCTAGATAAGATTGGCCATCCCACCATACAGAATGAACCTGGCCATATACTAATAATCAAGAGTGACACTGAACTTAGTATTGAAGTTCAGCCAGTGTTTAAAGTCCAAACAAATAACGTGCTTGGACAGAGCACTAACATTGGCTGTTGTACTGGTATTTGCAAATATTTAGCTTTTCGGCCTTTATGTCTATTAGTACCATTGTGCTAAAAGGATGGAAAAAGAGCAGTAAATGAAAATATTAATAATTGTCCTTGTCCTAGAGTCATAACTGAAGACATGACTTTATGTCACCTCTGTTTTCACAGCAGATTTCTCAAGCACTCAAGCTGCATGTTTTGTAAACTTGGTGGAATTTATTATTGAAGCGCTTCCGTTCCAACCAAGGCAACGAACTCGTTTTTTGATGCGTTTAATGTGAGGTAAAATCCTATATTCCAGACTTTTTCTCAGTCATTATGTTTTGTGGCAAATGTAATAAGTCATTGTAAAGTCATTATTTAAAAGCTGTTCATACACTCAAGGTGCAACATCATGCCTTAATGCATTTCCTTCCTTCCTTGTGCCGGTAGGTATTTCCCGTCGATATTACAGTTGCGCACATTAGGGGATTCCCAACGAATGTAATTCGTTTTTAAAACTTCCAGACCTGTAACTTCAGCTACTTCACTCGTCATGTTATTTTAAACCCATCTAACTAATTAACAAGCTTAACTCAACATAATGTTTCATTTTCATGTGTTATTAACCAAGTACACTAAGCTGAGTATGCGATTATGTATCTTGAATACGCAAACAATTCAGTTAATTCGGTTTAGAACTACCAACAACAATGTGGATCATCGTCAATTTTTATAGGCTACCATGTCCAGATATTAAACAGTGAAATATTTTACAATAAACACGAAACTAAAATGTAGGCTGATAAAAACATATAAAGGCGCATATCTACTGTATACCTCCTTAAAGGTGATAGTGAAAGTAAACGTTGTAAACCTGCATAAAAACTACAAGGTCAAAAGCAGCGCATTTACGTTCAGACATCACGCAGATACAGGCGTGTAGTTAAGATATTAGATATTTTTCTAATTTTTCAGATTTCAGAACGAATTTTTCTCACCATTTTCTCACGTCGTGATTACCGTCTTTCTCTTTGTTTCTTACAAATCTGTCATCGGAAAGACTGACATGAACTCCGCGACATTGGTCAAATACCATCCGTATTCCTGAAATGGGAGGGAAACAGACAGGCAGTACACACCCACGAACTGAAGGTAGCAGGGTATTAACCTACAGGGATACTGTCATTGAAAACTCACATTTTGAAATACTGGGAATACAATAGACTTGTTTTGTGAACGACACAGTAGAATAGATCACGTTTTCTGCGTCTGCATGTCTGAATAGAAGTGAAGACAATCTCAACTTTTAATCACATTTTAATACTCTAGACCAGAGGTCACTAACAGGCGGTCCGGGTCCGGACCGAGAAGCTGTCCCATACGGACCCGGACCGATAGCCAAAACAAGAAAGTTGTGATTTGACCGCCAAGCAAGACGTACTGTAGTTCGGCGTATGCAACCCTTTGCGCTAATGTGCCATTAGTGTTAATAGTAGCAGCAACCAAAAAGCCATAATGTTCATAAAAGAGTGGCTGATCTGTCCTGAAATCATAAAGCTGAAAAGTTTTCAAATGTATGTATTATATAACGTTCGATAAATAGACGTAGTTTATTGGTGACTTCGTGTTCGTTGAAGTTTCCTCTTTTTAAACAACTGTATAAAGTAATGTTAGTTGTTATATAAGTCAACTCAGGTGAAATTTTTTTTTATGTTTTCAGGGTTACCAAATCTCAAACATCTAGTATGACAGTCACGCTTTCAGACTGTGGTATCCTGATTGTTCTATTTATATAATATTTTACTTGAAATACCACTCCTCACCATTAGGAGTGTTATCCATTGTATAGGGTAGTTCAGAGAGCGCGAGTGCAGGCTGAAAAATTAATCAGTTGAGTTTTCCCCAATAAAGCATTCCTTTACTGCGATTCCTGTATGGTGGTATCAATCGGTTGTACACCGGGTTATTACATATTGGCGACGAGGATCTTGGATGCATGAATAGGGTGTGCGTAAAATAGGGAATAGTTACGGGAGTGAAAAAAATAATAATAATTTATAAAAATAGGATCGGAGGATTGAACGGGCACACGTATAACCATGAACGCGATGATAGGTGTCCTGTCAGTGTTTGATGCAAAGGAGCAGTCATGGGAAGAGTACTGTGAGATTCTTGAGCAGTTTTTTGTAGCAAATGATATTGACGACGGCGATAAGCAGAGAGCTATCCTCATCAGCGTGGTGGGACCAGCTACATACAAGCTCATACGGAACCTGGTGAGTCCAGAGAAGCCCAGCTCGAAAACATACAGTCAGTTAACAACTTTACTGAAAGAGCACTTCAATCCTAAACCGAGCGAGATTGTGCAGAGATTTAAGTTTGACTCGCGCTCCCGACGGCCCAGTGAGACTGTCAGTGCATATGTAGCTGAGCTGAGACAGCTATAGCTCATGATTGTAATTTTGGCGCTACCCTGGAGCAGATGTTACGGGATCGTTTGGTGTGCGGTATCAACGATGATAGAATTCAAAGACGTTTGCTGTCCGAAACGGACCTGTCGTTCGAGGAAGCATTTAAGATTGCCGTGGCAGCGGAAGCCGCTAATAAAAACGCACAAGACCTACAGACCAAGGCACCGTTAGCGTGTAACAGCATGAGAACGGACAGAAGAGAGAGAAAGGGGGAAGATTGGAAAAAGAGAGAGTGTTGATCACACAATGTATGATTGTATCTGAAAGGCAGAATAACGATAGTTCTGAGCAGGATGAAGATGCGTTCACATTAGCCTGCTTGAAGACAGAAATCTCAGTACAAAGAATTAAGCCATTTGAAGTAAAAATGGAAGTGAATAAAAAAAAAAGTAAAATTTGAAATTGACACAGGATGTAGTGTGAGCATCATGAATGAAATGAAGTTTAATGAGACTTGGGAAGAAAAGAAACGCCCGCAAATAAAGGAAACCAAACTCATAATTAGGTCTTATACTGGAGAGAAAATAAAAGTAGTGGGAGTAGCTAACGTTGAAGTGACCTATGGGCAGCAGATGAAGATATTGCCCTTAGTTGTAGTACAAGGCACGGGACCTAGCCTGTTAGGAAGAGGGTGGCTAGAGGCCCTCAAGTTGAAGTGGGATGAAATAAAACATATGAGAACAGAGGCCCAGGGACTACAGGAAATACTTACAAAGCACGAGGATGTTTTCAAACAAGAACTAGGCATGTTAAAAGGCATGAAAGCGAAAATTCGTGTGTCTGCTGAAGCCCGTCCTAAGTTCTACCGACCCCGTTCAGTTCCATATGCCATGAGGGTGAAAGTAGAAGAAGAGTTGGAGAGGCTGCAGAAAGAGGGCATCATTGCTCCTCTTAAGTATGCCGAATGGGCAGCACCCATTGTACCTGTCCTGAAGCCGGATGGTTCTGTCAGGATATGCGGTGATTACAAACTAACAGTAAACAGCGCCTCCTCGCTAGAGCAATACCCTATTCCACACATGGAAGACCTGTTCAACACATTAGCCGGAGGAAAACAGTTCTCTAAGCTAGATTTGAGCCACGCCTACCAACAGATTGTGATGGATGATGCGTCCAAGAAGAACTTAACAGTAAACACACATCGTTGGACTGTTCACATACAATAGGCTTGCTTTCAGAGTATCATCCGCTCCGGAAATTTTCCAGAGAACGATGGAAAGTTTGTTGCAAGGCCTGCCTAGAATAGCTGTGTATTTAGACGACATCTTGCTGACTGGGAGAGACAACGCTGAGCACCTGAGCACGCTGGACGAGGTACTCAGGAGACTAAAAGAAGCTGGCCTACGACTCCGCAGATGCAAGTGTGCATTCTTGCGAGATGGAGTTGAGTACTTAGGTCACAAGATTGATGCTGAAGGCCTGCACCCCCTGCAAGACAAGGTGAGAGCCATTGAGGAGACCCCACCGCCAACCACAGTGACCGAGTTAAGAGCATACCTTGGTTTGCTAAATTACTACAACAAGTTTCTCCCTGGGCTGGCCACACGCTTAGCACCATTACATCAATTGTTGAGAAAGGAGGCTCAGTGGACCTGGAACAAAAGGCAGGAAGACGCATTTCAGTTGTCAAAACAACTATTAAAATCAGCTAAAGTACTGTGTCACTATACAGCAGACAAGGACTTGGTGTTGGCATGCGATGCCTCACCATACGGAGTGGGGGCCGTGTTATCTCATGTAATGGAAGATGGAAGCGAAAAGCCATTAGGGTTTATGTCCCGCACTCTGACCCCAGCTGAGAAACGTTACTCACAGCTCGACAAGGAGGGGTTAGCCATCATGTTTGGGATCAAGCAGTTCCATAAATACATCTATGGACGGAGGTTTACAATTACCACAGACCACAAACCGCTGATATCGCTTTTCCACGAGAAGAAGCCAGTTCCACAGATGGGGTCACCAAGAGTGGACAGGTGGGCGACACTCCTAAGAGCTTATGAGTACAAAATCATTTACAAACCAGGCAAAGAACATGGAAATGCAGACGCGCTGAGCAGATTGCCACTGCCACAAACGGAGGAGGAGGACAATACAGAGCAGGTCCTCATGCTGGAGGTGATGGAAGATCCACCAATCACAACAGCTCAAGTAAAGCAGTGGACACTCTCTCTCAAGTGTTACTCTGGTGTCTGAAGGGATGGCCTAAAGAGGTGGGAATGGAGTTCAAAGCTTACAGCCAGAGAAGGCTGGAACTTAGCGTGAAGGATGGATGTGTACTATGGGGAGCTAGAGTGGTTGTTCCAAAGACAGGAAGGAACATCATTTTGAAACAGCTGCACCACACGCACCCAGGTATATCCAGAATGAAGGGGTTAGCACGTTCTTATGTGTGGTGGCCAGGGATGGACTCAGAAATAGAAAAGGAAGTACAGTCCTGCCACACATGCCAGTAAGTCTCCAGTTGGGGCACCACTTCATCCATGGGAGTGGCCTGAGACACCATGGAGCAGACTGCATGTTGATTATGCAGGCCCACACCTGGGCAAGATGTTTCTAATCATTGTAGATGCACACTCCAAATGGATGGACGTGCAACTAGTCAAGTTACTATAGGGAAGCTAAGACAGTGTTTTAGCACACACAGCTTACCCCAGACCATAGTATCCGACAATGGAACTTGTTTTACCAGCCAAGCAAAATGCTATACAGCACGTGACATCTGCGCCTTTCCACCCTGCATCCAACAGCCTGGCAGAAAGAGCCGTGCAGACATCCAAACAAGGCATAAATAAAATCAAAGGAGACTCCTTGGATACAAAAATAGCAAGATTTCTGTTCAGTTACAGGATTACCCCACAATCCACCACAAGGGTATCACCAGCTGAAATGCTGATGTCCAGGAGATTACGTTCTACTTTGGATCTTCTGCTTCCGGACTTGAAGTCAAAAATACACAGGAAGCAACTCAAACAGAAACTACATGACACACACAGCAAGTGGAGGAGTTTTTCCCCTGGTGATGATGTGTACATCCGTAATTATAGTCACGGACCAAAGTGGGTCCCCGCAGTCATTGAATAACTCACTGGACCGGTGTCTTATTTGGTGCAGACGGGAGATGGACGCAGCATGAGACGTCATGTTGACCAAATCAGGAAACGGCTTGCGACCATGGCTGGCTCATCTGGACCGGAGGTCATAGTGGAGCCTGCCAGTCTTAATATTCCGGAGCAAGCTGCGGGGGTCTTGCCTACGGAGACTGTTGTCCCGGCGTCGGTGGGAGGAAAGGTGACAGTCTACTGAGACAGCCCAGCCTCACCTTCCAGCTGACACTACGCTAGATGCGGGAGCAGACCTACTGCCAGTACTACGCCGCTCTGAGCGTGCCAGACAGAGTCCTTCTTACCTGGAAGATTATGTAAGACGTAGTGTGATTCCCCATTTATGAGCAAGAATGTGCTCTGGGATCACAGGAAGGATGGTAGTCTACCCACCTTCCTAGGGAGTTGTTTTGTAATGTTAAGAACTGAAATGTTGTTGGAAAAATATATACATATATTTAATGTCAACACTTAAGACAATGTAATAGTGTTTCCTGTGTGATTTTGTTATAGTAAGTAGTACCTGATGGTATAATTACAAATTCACTGTCCAGTATAATTTGGGAGCAGTTTAAACCGATAACTAGTGTTAAAGTTAACCTGAGTAGTTTACTCTTAAGAAGGGAGGGATGTGGTATCCTGATGGTTCTATTTATATAATATTTTACTTGAAATACCACTCCTCACCATTAGGAGTGTTATCCATTGTATAGGGTAGTTCAGAGAGCACGAGTGCAGGCTGAAAAACGAATCAGTTGAGTTTTCCCCAATAAAGCATTCCTTTACTGCGATTCCTGTATGGTGGTATCAATCGGTTGTACACCGGGTTACTACACAGACTAAAGCAGTAAAACTAAATTATTCCATTATAAATGTCATGAGGCACGGACCGAGAAGTCGAGTGAACACAGGATGTAATTAGGAAACCACGCTCAGGTACATACAACCACTACACAACGTTAATAACCGGACTCCTAAAGGCACACAGACACGGATTTTAATACACAGAACTAATGATCCACGACTAGAAACAGCTGATGACACGGGGATTCCACACGAGGTAGTGAGGGGGGCATGGCACACAGGAGAATCGGCACGAGCTGGTCTACTTAAATATATATATCACACTACATAGTTAGACATTTTAATCTTCCGGACCTTTGCTTCAAGAAATTTTCTCTAACTGGACCTTTTTAAATTTTAATTGAATATCCTTGCTCTAAACACACAAATCGAGTAGTACCGCAAATTGATTTCATTACTATAACTATTGCTGGAAGAGCATGTTACAGGAGTGGTATAGCAAATGAAATGATGGAAAGCTTGTGTTTGTCTGAGTTCGTGGTTGTCTCGGACCTTCAGGGAGAAAGATTCAGGTCTGGCTCCGATATTATTATTTTTTTACCCGGAAATTCTCCCTGCCTCGTTCGTTTACCGTGTGGGCTAATTATAATGTACTTACTTTCTTATGGCGCTATATGTCTTACATTTATATGTCTTGTAGCTCCCGGTCTTAGGAAAGAAACAGAGTTTTACTGTAAACAGTTTCTCGTTTATGTAAATAGTTCTTGTTATGCTCTTAGGGGGCCGAATGATGGATAGAATGACTGATTACTGGGGACCCTGAATCTGGGGGTAGGCACCATGCACCGATGTTTAAGGGCTTTTGTGGGCTTTCGCTCTCTCTCTGTGCCGCTCGCTGTTCACGTGTTTTTAAAATGTGATTAATAATGGAAGCTATAATTCAACTGAAAATGGTAGATTACCTAGATGCAAATAACATTATAAAGGATAGCCAACATGGATTTAGGAGGTCTAGGGAGCTGGGGAAACACACTAAGGGCTTGGACAACAGGGAGGACAGGATGGCCAGCGACACCTGCTGGCTAAATGGGGGGGAAACACAAAAGGTGCTGACCCTGACAATTTATTGCATTTTGGAATTATGACAAATGAGGAACTATACTTCATCTCAATGTATAACCCATGCATCAGAGCTCAGATGACAATAAAGATACTTTGATTTTGACTGATTTGATTTCCTTTGATAGTTGAAAGATATTTTTGGTGATGACTTAACGTGCTGTACACCCTTCACACAGGGCACTGGCGTCCGATCCCGGGCAATCTTTGCCCCCAGTGTTGTGCTTTCTCATATAGCTACCTTCATGTGACTGGACAAGCAGCTATTCCATCTGAAAAGATGAGGATGTGTACGCCTGAATGGTAGAATGGGTAGAATGGATGGTAATATACAGTGACTAAACTCAGCTATGAACAAGATCAAAATATCTTAAAGTGGGACACTGGGATTCCATCTGTAACCAGGACAATGTTCAGTAAATTAGTAAATTAGTTCTACTTACCAACTGATATATTGTATAAATTATCAGAATATTTTTAGGGTCTGTTTCTTAGGACTAATTTATATCTAAAATAAATTACTGTACTATTAACACTGAGATAATGTATACAATGTGCATATTAATTCAAAATTATGTAGTTTCATTTCCAAGTCACAAGTATATGATACAATCCTGTCTTAATACCAAAAATGCAAAATTAGTTTGCTCTCTAAATGATCATAAAATGTACATTTTTTTTAAAGAATCCATGTGAAGTTTTAATAATGAAACTTTGTTTTCTGTGGTGGTATAGATGCAAACAAAAGTGTTGCTAGCTGATGGAGGACAGACTGCAGATAAGCTAGGGAAAATTTGGGCCGATGTTCTTTTTCAAGCAAAGAATTTTGCATGAATTTGCATAATTAAAACATCTTATATCCATGCTGCATATAATGATAATTTAAATGAAGTTGCTGAAATGTACTATTATTAAATATACTAATGACAATTTACGTATGACTTTAGGTCAGAATATTTCATCCTGATAATACTGTTTAGAGATTCAAAACAAGCACTTTATGTCATTAGTCATAAATCTACTTACAGATACTTACAGTTGAAAATTTAATATCCTTTGTATGAACTTTTTTCAATGCAATAAATCTTCATCAGCATTTAAAGTGACCTTGCTTATCCCATGCAGCGTTTTCCAAGCCCCTAGAGCCTAGGGACACCTTGCAGGGACACCTTGCGGAAAACTTCTGAAAAGCAATTTCAGTCTCAATTTGTTTCTGTGAAATATTCTGTGAATTTTTGAATGCATAAAATGAGCAACACGTAGGTATACAAGAACAGTTTCGTGTTTGCTTATGCCGAAGAATATCTTATTTGGCGTATTTCATTTCTCAGTAGATTACTTGGGTCATTTTAAAATCTATTTTATTTCACTCTCTCCTTACCAAATGGATCTTCATAGGACACAAGTTGTACAAGACCAAGTAATTTAAGTGAATGTTACTGGGTTACTTTCTACATCAAAACTACTGTACTTTGTATGATAAAATGCATACATTTAAAAATGCAAGCAGTATTTTAACGAATTCAAATGCGGTACACTGGAGACGGACAAATGAGACTGAAATCGCACCTTTACATGGTGCATTTAAAAAAAACAATACATTATGATTAATTTACTAGGTATTTTGTGGAAACTTGGAAATTCAGTATAAATCAGTGACAAAAAGGCTTTTGGGTGCGTATTTAAAATTAATACTTTCCGAATGCAGGTGTTCAATAATGGCAACATATTTCCTTTACAAATAACCCAAGTACTGTACAGTAAACACTCATTCAAACCACCCCAAGTCCCTCTCGTTTTTCCATGTGTTAAATTTTGTCAGACGTTTTTCGCTCACTGATTGGCTGACACGAAAGTGGGCGTCGTCAAGATTATATTTTGCGAAATTTGATTGGTGAAAACACTTATCAGTCAAAGTGTTGAGCCAACTCCTTCCTCTCTGATCAACCGGAAGCGGCGTCCGGACGTCTTGGAACCTCGTCTGACAACGGGATGTAACCGCGAGCCGTGGGGATTTGATGGGGGATGCGCTGATCCCTCGAGTTAAGGGTGAGCAGATTGACTGCATCACAACGGGCCGGATCGCAAGGTAAGGCAACCGTGTTGCTTTATACGCAAAATTGTGGTTGGTTTCCGGGCGCGGTTTGTCGGGTTGTTGGGGGGAGTTGGGTAGACGCTAAGCATTCAAACATATCGAGCTAGTTAACGACGGCTGGTCGATGGACTTTTCGGGATCTCACAAAATTTCATTTCTTTAAGGAGCGACGTAAAAAATATCACTTAAGTGGTCAGCTTAATCTATATGGAGTCTGCATATGTGGGAGTGTGAAGTGAACGTATTTAAAAACGTTTCGGTGCTCTTTGCCTGAATTTTTTAGGGGTCTCCGGTATTAACCCCCGATAAGCGAGCTGCGTTGCGGCGTTATGAGATGAAAGTTAGGTTGTGGGGGGCGAAGCTCGCGCCTGATCTGCCTACATCGACTCGGTAAGGCTCCTGACCCATAACGCTTTGCCGGTGCACCGATCACCAGCCAGGAAAGCTGAATCCAGCTGGCCGGGCTCCCCCACAGCCAGTCCTGGCCGTTCCCCTTTCGTCGCAGGTTTCCACAAATCCCGGGTATTGCTCGCTTTTAACGGAAGCCTGGCCCTAGGGGACTGTGCTTTTCTTTGTACTTTTACCCTTAAGTGCATTTTCCCCATCTGGAGAATGTAAAAATATAAAGAAATGTGCAACTCACGTACATTTCTATTTAAAATCCTGCGTAACTTCTCGCTTCTTTTTTCAAAAAATGGACCTGCTGTTTAGAAAAACCTATGTACATATGTAAACTATTTGATAGCAGTACTGGAATATTAGAACATTTTCCTAGAAAAAAATCAATATATATATATATATATATATATATATATATTATTAGTCAGTCTGATCACAAATGAATGAATGTTAAGGAAACTATAACTAAATGCTACTTTTCTTAAACCAAAGGATGCGTTACTTTGAGTTTTGAAATGAAAATGAATTGATACTTTTTACCATTTGTGCACGTGCTTTTTCATATATCCCATTTTACTTTCCTTTGAGACATAGATACACACAAGTGAGAGTTTTGTGTACTCTATCAGGTCCCAGGAGTATTTTTTTTTTCTCCTCATTTTGTGGGGTTGTAACTTTAGTTCAGATGATTGCTGTAAAGCAGGGGCATTTGTGTGTGTATGTGATGTAAGCACATGACGTCTGATGTCAGTAATGTTGCTCTCTGGTCTAGCTCTGCAGGTCCCTGTGATGTTGACCACTTCTGCCAGTACCAGTCTGAGAGGGGGGCAGCGTCCATCCCTGCCAATGTCCGGCCCGTGTCACCTCCCCCCGCTTTACCAGGAGCGTACTCCCAGAGCATCCAAAGAGCCACACTGGGAAGAGAGAAGAGCGGGTGACAGGGACCTGGACACTGATACTTGCAGGCCAGGGAGTTTCACGAGTCACGTCAAAGCGCGTTGTGGACAGACGTTGGTTTTGGCCACCCGTTCAGGAGAGGATCGTATGGAGTCAGAGGCTGTCCCACTCAGTGCCTGTCACAAAAGTGGACACGTGGACTCTGGTAGAACTAGACAAATGAATGGAAGTACTTCAGAAGTGCAGGTGTGTGTTTTACCCCCCTGTACCTCACCGAGCACAGCATTGCACTAACAGCGCAGAGGTCACGGGTTCAAATCCCAGGGATCACGCATAATTCGTCTAAGGCTGTGATGATATTGGTAGAATAGAAGTTACTGACCCTCACTTTGTTCTCGTCAGATAAATGAGTAAATGTCATTTATAATGGTGCATAGTTTTAGTAGTGCAGGAGGGACAGTGTGAATTTAATCTGTGAATTTAATCTGTTTTGCAGTGTGTTCACATGGACGATCACGTCGTCAAATGTAGCTCTCAAGATAAGGATGTAGCGACAGGTAACATGAAACTTTTAAATTCGATTGTAATCAGATGTTTATTAGGGGTGTCATTACTGTTGTGATGTCATTTTCATAGTTTGGAATTAAGCATCCATATCAGTGTGGTGAATTTACTAGCATTACCCATGTCATACTCCTCGTCCGTACTTCTTTTTCATGAATGTGCTTCCAGATTTGTATTTTGCGTGTGATCTCTAATTCTGCAGGTGTGACCTCGGATTCTGTGGCGCACCCTGTTGGCCCGGTGGTGGAAGGGCTGGGTTCGCTGGAGCGTCTCCTGACGGCCCACCAGGAGGAGATGAAGCGGCTGCTGGCGGGGAGCCTGGGGCCCGTGTGCAGGCGGCTGGAGGCAGTGGAGCAGCGGGTGGGCCAGTTGTGTGAGCAGAGCGCCACCCATAGCACTGACATGGCACTGCTGAGTGGCCGCATGGATGCGTTCTGTGACAGGCTGATGGCATCGCATGTCACCGTGACAACAGGCGCCAGAACCAGTAAGTCCATGGGCCGGATCTGTGCTTTTGCAATAAGCCTCTTAGGGCATGTTGTGATGTTCCGCCCTGACAACTAACACGTGCATGTGACACGAACTATTGGTCTAGTCAATGATTCTCTGTAAATAGACAATATTCCTCTGGAATACTGGGGAAGGGCATGTTTTAAGAACTGAATATGTGTGGGGAAGTATCTTTGTGAATGATGAACTGCTCTCTGTGCCGGGTATGGTCCTTGCTACGGTCATCCTCACCAGAATCTATGGTTACTTGCTTGCCTACCAGTGACCAGAGCAGTATGGTTTTACGCCTAAGAAGTCTACCATCGACTGCATCCTGGAACTGAGGGGTCTCATCTAGCAGAAACAGCCGAGATTCTTTGCAGTCTTTGTTGATTTTTGTAAGGTGTTTGACTCAGTTGATCGAGTTGCCCTGTGGGACATCAGTGTTTCCTCTGGGTTTACAGCTTTGGGGGGGGGGGCAGACAGACACCAACAGGATTCATGGTGTTCATGTGTTTCTTTTAATGACAGCAGTCAATATAACAACTGAACTAAACATCAGAACATTTCTTTTATTATATAATATATAATTATTTGCCTTTTCGGGCTTGTCAAACCAGATGGAGGTCCCAGGGCAATTATATAGATATACTGTAGATGTTTTTGTCTGCTTTTCAGGTGGTTGACGCGACATATTTTCCGACGCGCGCTCTCTGTCCGCTGGTAGGAGTGTACTCAGCTGTGTGTGCGCGCACGCGTCTGTGCACTCGCATCGGGGCGGAACTCCGCCATACGCGATACAGAGAGCAGAGGAGAATTGTAAACGCGCGACCGTGTAGAGACAAAAATGACAAGCTGTTGTGTAAATAAGATAAATAACATAAGGCTATTTAGTTTGTTTAATAAAAGGACAATGTATAGACCTGTTCTATAGAAAAGGTAACCTTACATGATTTCTGTTGTGATTTGGCGCTATACAGTCGTCCCTCGCCATTTCGCGCTTCGACTTTCGCGGCTTCACTCTATCGCGGTTTTTTCAAATACTGTACATTTATTCCTTAAAAAGTTGATAGACAGTGAAAATGATACAGCGCGCGCTCGGTTGTCTGAGTCAATTATACACCTCTGTATTACAATTAAAATTTAAATTGCTGTACGTATGGACTGTAGGCCTATGTATTCGAGCACCCTCACAAATCCTTCAACGCCAGGTGCAGCCGAATAATAAAGAAATAAAGAATCCTACTTTGCGGAAATTCATTTACCGTGGTAGAGTCTGGAACGGATTAACCGCGATAAACGAGGGACGACTGTATAGAAAATAAAATTAAGTAAAATTAACTTGTCCTTCAAGGGGGGGGTGGGACACCCCCCTAATATAATGGTAGGGGAAACACTGGACATCCTGAGACTGTGGGATCCCTGAAGCTGCTGGACATCATGGCCGGCCTGTACACTGGTACTGAGAGTGCTGTGCAGAGTGGAGGCAGAACCTCTGCATTCTTCCAACTTATTCTGGGGTTCACCAGGGGTGTGATCTTGTTCCTACCCTGTTCAGTGTTTGCATGGACTGGTTGTTGGGCAGGGTTGTGGGGTCCAGCAGCTATGGAGCATTTATAGGTGAAGAAAGGTTTACCGATCTTGACTTTGGCGAAGATCACAGTATCATTGGCAGAGTTGGTGGAGGCTCTGATCAGGGCTCTCAGAAGTCCGAGCGAGTTGTCTGAGTGTGTAGGATTGCGGGTGTCCTTGGATAAAAACCAAGATCCAGGCATTTAATGACCTCTTGGGCACAGCCGTCGGCAGTGTGTTTGTCTGTGGGGAGAATGTCGACCACGTCGAGAGGTTCACTCCCTCGCAGTGACATTCATGTCTCTGGTGACTCTTCCTATGAAGTCAGCAGACGGATTGGGAGAACATGGGGGGTCATGAGGTCGCTGGAAAGGGGTGTGTGGCTCTCCAGATGTCTTCAGAGTCCTGATGCTCCTTGTCAAGCTGTATGGCTGTGAGACATGGACGCTACCCAGTGACCTGAAACAAAGACTGGACTCCTTTGGTACTGCGTCTCTTCTGAGAATCCTTGGGTACTGCTGGTCCGACTGTGTCGAATGAGCTGTTCGTCTGGGGGTCCCAAATGAGTCACATTGCCTGCATTGTGAGGGAGCGTCAGTTACGGCACTACGGCCATGTGGCGCGTTTCCATGATGGTGATCCAGCTCGCAGGATCCTCATTACCGAGGACCAGGCCAAGGAGATACCTGGCTGCAGTAGATAGACAGCCATTTCCGGAGGGTGGGACTGGGCCGCCTGTCGGCCTGGGGGGTGGCCAACCGGGATCCCAAGGTGTTTCATCATGTGGTGGGTGTGGCAATGCGCCGTACCAGCTCCTCAACCTGACCTCACCTGATAATCGGTGGATTAGTTTGGTCACGTTTTATAGTGAGTTTCCCCGAACCAAACATTTCAAGCAGCCCGACTTGCTTATTAATTGCACATTAAATCATCTGCAGAATGTTGGTTTGTTTTTCACTTTTTTTTTTACTTTGTGTTTTAGAAAGAAAGTGCACGTCCAGGTTGATCAAGTTCCCAAAACATCTTCAGGAAGATGGACGTGACACATGCAGCGTTAAACAGAGTGTAACTTTCACTGTCATGAAATCTATACGCCGGTTTAAATCTGTCACAGTCGGCGTCTATAAATTCCCCACGGGGATTAATAGTTTATCTTTGTCATCTGTCTGTCTGTGGCTTGCAATCGGGCAGCTCAGATGGACCGGCAGCTAGTGGAAGCAGTTTGATGGTGACTTCTTTTCAGATCTGGTAACAGGAGGAGGGTCAGTCTCTGTGTCTTGGCCCTGCAAAGCAGGGAGGAGAGCCACAGTTTTGTCTGATCTTCAGAGAGAATCAGAGGCACCAGCTCCTCTGTATTCAGCTTTTTTTGTAGTTTATGGTGATGCTTACAATACAGCTCTCCCCTTCAGGTTTTGAAAACATTATGAATATTGAGTTTCAAATGATTACATGGTACTATGCCCTGTCACAAGCTGTTGAATTAAACCAGAGCACAGGTAATGACACCCCTAGTGGCGTATTTTGAAGCACATTTGTTGAAGCACTGTGTTTCCTGCAGGTGTATGGGAGGGAGGAGAGAGAGCCGCCCCCGGCGAGCTGGCGTCACGGAGATCGCATCCCTGTGGCAACCCGGTTGCTGTGGAAACGGACACGGATGAGGGAAGCGTCGGGGAGCTGGGCAGTGGCTCGGGCGAAGCTGAGGCGTCACGACATGAAATAGGGGGCAGCGGGGAGGATGTGATGGGGGACACAGAGCCCCTGGAAACGAGGACGCCTCCTGCGGGGACATCAGTGCAGTGCATGCTGGGGAACTATTCACCCGTGTCGGATTTCGAAGACCTGGAGGAGGAGCTGGGTACCCAGGAGGTGACTGATTGTGGGGTGTGGCCAGAAAACGTGGGGCTGGAGGCTCCAAAAGCCGCAGCCTGTGAGGAGACCCCCGCTGTAGTGCAACAGACTGTCACTGGGAGCACCACTGAGCCAGCTACCTGCCCCGGATCCTGGGCGGAGTGGCAGGGATCTCGCGTCCAGCGGTCCGGACCTCCTTTGGAGATCCAGGTATCTTCTAACCCGGTCGAGTCCTCCACGGATCCGTCTGCCTCGGCCCCTAACGAGATGAGGACATTTGAGCCGGATAGTGCGCTCGATGACCTGTCACCCCCGTTGGCCAACATGGAGGACCGCATGGTTGAACACGCGTCTACAAAAGACTTTCTCTCGTTTGCTGGGCCGGTGGCAGAATCCTCAGCCACATTCATGGTCCTGGCTGAACCATGTGGGGTTCGAACGGCCCCTCCATCCCCCCAGCCAATGCTTGTGCAGTTCCATAGGCCCGGTTCTGTGGAGGGGAGCGGCGGGAGGACTGAGATCCCAGAGGGCTTGGCGACAGACTGCCAAGAACCAGGAACCATGGAAAATAGGGAGGAAACGACAGGGCTGATGAGCGGGGAAGCGGCAGAAGCATCAGTATGTGCTGTGGCGTTACCTTTGTCGTCGGACAGCAATGCCTGGAGTCGGCCAGCAGAGGGAGCCTGCTGGCAGAGCAAAGGCCTTAGCGATGGAAATGAGGTGCAGTGGGGAGGGCAGGAAATTAAAATGTGGACCAGTCCCTATTTCAAGCCCCGGACCTGGAACACGCAGGGGGCGCAGACGTTGCCGCTCTGCTCGTATGCGCAGCTGGGACGCAGGTGTAGCAAGCCAGCCCTTGGCCCCCACCTGGAATGCACTTTAGCCAACGCACTGCTGCCCCAGCGTGCGACCGCCAAAGCACCCGAGGGAGGCGTCCTGCTCCCTGCTGCCCTCCCTGTCGCTCCCTTCCGCCCCCCGCTCACCCCCCTCCCCGGCCTTGCTAACAATGCCCACAAGCTGCTCATTCTTGGCGTCGGTTCCTTGCCCCATGAGAGCCGCCCTCTGCTGCAGTACTTGTCGGAGATCGCCAGGCGCCTGTTCCCCCACATCCAGTCCCCCGAGCCGCTGTCCGCCGTGTGCCGCAGCACCCCCTACAGGCTGCGGGGTGTATGCCCATCCTTTGGCGCCCGCCTCAAGCACTGCTGGAGCCTGCAGCGGCCATCGGCCAGGCACTCCCAGCTGAAGGGGACGAATCTGGCCCACGGCTCGGCTCTGCCAGACCTGGACACCGGAGCGATCCGGTCGTGGAAGCCGCTGGTGACAGTGGGGAGTCTGCTGCTGACTCCGCTGGATCTTGGTCCCTTCATGCCACGCTGCCCCTCGCAGGGGGAGGTCCTGGAGGTCCTGCCTCCGCCCAGCCTGTCCCAGCTGTTCCAGGCTGCCGCCGGCCCCCCCACCGCCTCCCCATCGACCCCACTGAGCCGAGGCTGCTTCTATAAGCCCGGCCTGCACACGGCCCTGGCGCTGTCCTCGCCAGCCTCTCTGCATCTCCTGGCACGGCAGCGGCGCCCCCACCCACTAGCGCCCCCCGGGTCCTCCAGCCCACACTGTGCCCTCAGCCGCCTCCTGCCGTCCCGAGACACGCTGCCACCCCTAGCGCCTCTCGCCGACCACACTGGCCTGTCCGGCATGGACGACGACCACAGGTGGGTGATACTCCCCCCTCCCCCCTCTGGGATAAACCACCCTGCTGCCCTGCCTCTGATTCTTACTTCTCCTGCTGTCCTCTACAGCTATTCCTGGTGCTCCGGTCAAGATGTCCATCCCGACAGGACTTCCGCAGAAATGAGGTGAGCACAGTGGGCCCCAGGACGCAGTTCCCTCCCTCTGATTACCCCTCAGATTCTTTTCTCTTAATGCGAAGTCGTTAAGCTGCAGAGTGATGTCGCCGTCGGGCTTCTGAACAAAGCCCTTAACCCCCCAGTTGCTCCAGGGGACCCTGCACACTGGCTGGCCCCTCCCTGGGACCCCCAAAACTTGCTCTCGCCTGTATGTGTCTCTGTGTCTCACGGATTTTTTGCCTGTTGGCGCAGGCAAAAAAAGGCAATTTTCCCTTGGGGATCAGTAAAGTATCACTATTTTACATTCTTTTGTGTTGTAAGCTGCGTGCCTTTCATATCTGCGTAGATCTGACTCGCAAACGTCTGGCATTTTTAGACATTGTCACATTTTCTTTTGAGAGCAGATTTATAATGTAGAACTGTTAGGTTTCTTTATTCCTGCATAGTTTGATTGTGTCCTATAATATAATATATGATCTTGTGTCCTATAATATGAGGTCTGAACTGTACAGTGGTGTGTGTGTGTGTACCTAACATCCATACAACGTGTAAGGCCTGTTATTTTGATGTTGTGGGGATAATTTTTTTTTAAATCTGACTGCAATCAGAAAACTGAAAATACCTAAAGTCCTGTATTTCGTTTGGTTACTTATGGTTAAGGTTAGGGGTGAGTAGAGGTTAAGGTCGTCATGCTTATGGGAGTTTTGCCCATAAGAATGAATGGACAGTCCCCACAAAGATATAATTACAAACTTGTGTGTGTGCGTGCTTCATTTGGCTTTCTGTTCCTATTGGTGTTTAAATCTCTACCCGCTGTACTTCCATTGATAGGTACTCTGAGTAATATTTGAATGCATTGGTGAGGTATGATGTGCTGTAGATGTTTTTTTTTGGGGCCTACCTTCGATACTCTGAACATCTCCCTACCCACAAGCAGTGCGATCAGCCTTTTGGACAGTCCAGCGCCCCCCACTGGACTGGAGCTGCCCCCTAGCGTGAGCCCCAGCATGCCTAACGGCGACACAAGAGAGATGGCCCACAGCTTCCGTGACCGCACCGAGGTCGAGTTTCCCGTACTGCCTTCTTGCAGGTCGATGGAGGAGGTGAGCGTGACTTGACCATGTTTTTAAGAGTTGCTGGGTGAACAGTTCATTTATGACCAGGTCTGTGGGTCTTTTTTGTTTTGTTTTGTTTTGTTTTTTTAAGCAAAAGAAGCAGTTAATTGAAGTTTTGGAGAGACCGCATTTATCTTGCGATCTTGATATAGCTGGTATTCAAGCAGCCGCTGTCAACAGCCACAGCTTGATGGCGCCACGTAATCCCTCCAGCCCGTGCCAGGTCCCCCTTCTGTGTCTCATCTTTAAATGCTGTGCAAGCATCTGGAAAAATGCAACGAGACTGTAGTACTGCGACATGCGCCGGTGCGGTAACTCGAATTTGCTGCGGATTTTTAAGCACAAAACGGCCGCTGTCTGGAGGTCCAGCCTGACGGAATAAAGCAAGACACTTTTCATGTCAGATTTTAAGTGAGGATCGAGGGAGAAATGGCACACATCCTCTCTGGCTTTCTGTGGACTTAATGCAACGCAATTTTACTGCTGTAGGGGGCACCGTTCGAAAAGGTCGTGGGTCCTCAGCCTGACCCACGTTCCAAGAGGGTCTCCCAGATCCGCATCCGCAAGACCGTCCCCAAGCCGGACAATAACCTCACCCCCATGGGGCTTCCCAAACCAAAGAGGTGGGTTGGCGTTTTCCGCTCAAAGAACAGCGCTGCATTATGGATGTGCGTCATCCAAATGAATGACAAAAGAAATTAAAGAAATATAAAATGCAATAATTATTACTCTGTTACTCACTGTTACTTCCGCTTCCCTCTAGACTGAAGAAGAAGGAATTCAGCTTAGAGGAGATTTACACCAATAAAAATTACCGCTCCCCTACTGGCAACAGGTTTGTTCAGGTCAAGTCTAGTCACGTCTAATGGGCTGTCATACAGGTAGACAGTGGCATAGTGCTACATACAAGCAGGACACGCCGAGGAGATGGTTTTCACCATAAGCAGGACAATGTGAAACGGGGGGGATTCCGCCTGTGTTCCCAAAGCGATGTGAGATGATCCAATGTTGCACATTAGGATTGTAAATGGAGTTTTAGATGTGCAAGTAATTTTAAATTTTTCTTTGGAATGAGTGTTATTGACAGATACTGGTAGTGACATGCTGCTGCATGCTTGGAGAGGTGGCCGTTTTGCCCCTGAAGGCCTGTCTTCCCCCTCCCAGGTCCCTGGAGACCATTTTCGAGGAGCCCAAGGAGAAGAATGGGGCGTTGGTGTGCATCGGGCAGCAGAAGCGCAAGCGTGTCTTAGACTTCCCCGACTTCACGCTGCCGCGAAAACGGCGGGCACGGGCCGGGGTGGGGCCAACACGGGTGAAGGTCACACGGGGGCGTGGCCGCAGGGATCGTCCCGATGATGCCGACCTCGACGTCATGCTGATCGAGAGACTCAGCGAGCTGGAGGATTACTTCTCCCGCCAGGGGTTGGAGGACTGAGCGGGCTATGCCAGTACGGAATGTTCTGGATCTTACCCTGAGTGTGTTAGCCGAACCCTAAAGCTCGGCTCGTAATAGGAAATGAGAGTGAGTCTGTGTTTTCATAAGCTGTTCTGCTCTGAAACACTTTGTGTCCATGAAGCCACACAAGTCACAGTATTGAGAGAGCAACACAAAGACTGCACTCTTTAACACTTTTTTGCTAGATAGCCTCTCGCCTCTTAGCCGAGCCGTGGAATCGTGAGACACGCGATGTCTAGCGTCGTTCCGTTTTCACCAGATCCGACGCAAATGGCCGACCAGCTAGTGCGTATGTTGGATTTTGGAGAGATGCGGCTTAATATCTGGCTTAGATTTTAGGTGTTAAACCCGATGACACAGGAGAATGTTAATATTTACATGCAGTCACATAACAGGCTTTTTAAAAGCAGTGCACGCGCATGGCGTGATGCGTACATAACATGTTACAGATGCTGTTGCTTCGTTCCTGCATTTTCTTCCGACTTGCCTCCCCCCACATCCCCCTGGCCCACCACCACCTTGCGATGTCCAGCTGCTGGGGTCTCACAGGGTATCTGTCCACAGTTGGGAGGTGCCAGTCCCTCTCCCCCCGAACCGTGCCCCTCCCACCCTGTTTTCCAAACCTGTGTCGCAGCTGGTGCAGAAGTTATCATGTCCATGGACAGATACTTGAAGGACATCCAAAGCGTCTATGTCCGGACACTCAGACCTTAGGAGGTGGGACATACTTGGATATGTGGGTGTAACAGAGACTCCAGTGAGTCTGTAGGGTTTGGTGAAAAGGTGTTTTTATTGTAGTATCTGGGGAAGCCAACGTCTTCCACTTCCATTGTATTTGCTGCAGTGTGGTTTGTGGTATAGGAATGCCCCCCCCCATCTGCATTTTATCTGCCATTTTGACAGCTGCCTGTCATTTCTAGCAACTGTAAAAGCCATTAAAAGCTTATAAATATAGTCATCCCCTTAATGAGTATTGTACCCGTAAGAATTGGTTCCCTGGAATTGTGAAGCCTGTTGGTTTTAATGCTGGAATTCGGGGGGGGGGGGGCATTTACTCTGGGATGATACCTGCTTTGTCGTTCACCTCGTTCACCCCTGCATTGGCTGAGTGAAACGTGTAGTGGTGCAGGACTTTTTGCAGTTGCATCCCTATGCCTATAGGCATCACGCATGCACTTTTTTCTGAAAATTCATTGGCACGTGTATTAGTGCATCATTGGCAACGTTACCTTTCTGGTCGGTTCCCATTTTCAGATTCTATCATGGGTGGTATCCACAGGTTTAATAGATGCCATTATTGCAAACACTGCAGAAGTGTTTCAATGCCAAAACTAATTAGCGTGGGTTTTACGCTAAATAACCAGAATGCCTGGTTATGAGTCATTTGTCAGTCGGTTATAAGTGAGAACTGTCAAGTGACAGTTTTCTCAGCGAGACGGCTCTCTGGGCGAGACCTCAGGAAGCAGCCTTGTGTTGACCCTGCCATATTAAGCACAGGTATTTGGATGGTTTGTGCACCTGAGAAGCTGTAATGAAAGTATACAAAAGCCAATTAGAGAACTGCAGTATGTTTCCTCCCTATTTCCTTTAGATTAGGGGTGTCAAACTCCAGTCCTGGGGGGCCGGAGCCCTGTGTAACTTAGTTCTTTTCCTGTTCCACCACAAATGATTCAGCTCAAGAGCTGTGTGGTAATTAGCACAAGAAGTTGAATCAGGTGTGTTAAATGAGGGGAAACCCAAAAATGTGCAGGGCTCTGCCCCCCCAGGACTGGAGTTTGACACCCCTGCTTTAGCTTATGCCTCACTCCAAGTATCAAAGATGAGCAAAGACCCCCTTTGCTGACGTGCCTGTTGTGTGTGTGTGTGTGTGTGTGTGTGTGGTGGTGATCCCTTTTGCTTAATGCTGCTATCCCCCCCATCCCTGAGTGCTGAGATTTAAGATCTGCTGACTAATGCATACAGTACAAGTAGGAACTTACCTACGTATCGAAGGTGTCATATGTGGGAGGGAGATTAACTTTTAATTTTCCACCCATGTGTCTCTGACGGGTGTTTGCAAACTGCGTTGGCAGTTTAATGCCGAAATGTGCCTGAGGCAACCGCAGTGCAGTAAAAAGAGAGGGTGGACCGTTTGTGTCACTGCATGCGTCATTCCTGTCAGTGCACGCTGTGATTTACTGTGTAGCACATCTGCTTTTAAGTGACAGGTAAAATTTACACTGATGAACATGAATTTACACTGATGAACATGAATTTACACTGATGAACATGGTCTTTTCCAGAGATTCTGGTGGAAAAGCTTTGGCGCCGGGTTAATGAGCATCATGTCCTGTAAAATACATCTAGTCCCATCTTGTTTCATACCAGCCGTACACACTTTGTGAAAAGAGCAGACCTGTACGCAGGTCTTTCATCAGTATAGCGACTTACCTTTCATTGCTGGTAGGGCTCCAAGTTACCTACATTGGTATCGACTCAAATCCAGTTTTGGGGCAGTGGCTCAGTGGGTTAGGACACTGTGCTTGTGATCGGAAGGTTGCTGGTTTAAATCCCAGTCTCAGCAGAGTGATCTCGCCATCGGGCCCTGGAGCAACTTTAGGCATCAAGATCCAGCTACAGTACAGTCTCGCAGAGGTTCATTTTGGCACTGAGGGTGTTTAAACCCCCTCCCCCCCTTTAAATGTCCCACACCTAGATCTTTGTATGTGTTGAAGTGATTTTTTTTTTCCTGCTGATCAACCCCAAAGAGTCACATACCTGTTAAATATTGCCGTGTGTTTGTCTCTGTAGCAGAACTTGATACACATGGTGCGTATGTGAGTGTTTGAGGTTAGTGTGTAGTTACTCTATGCTAAGCACCTTGTACTGTGTTGTCAGTCATAACAGCTATGCTGTGTGTATCAAATATAAAATACTTGTGATAGTGATACATTTTAAATCATGTGATTGATTTGAATATTTGTATTTGGTTGTCATCAATTGCCTGTTAATTTACCTTTTTTAATCGGCACAGACCAACACTAAGCATTAGTATTGTTAATAACTGTGATTTTAATTTTTAATAAAATGAATAAAATGTTAAATTACCTTTACTTTTGTCTATTTTGACTGTGACTGTTGTGAACAGTTTAATATCTGTGCCAGTAATATCTTATAATAAGTTCAGAAGCTCTTTGATAGTTTTATTTTAAAAAGGAATGTAAAGAATCACTTTTAAGGGATCCATTGCCTCCATTTGTATGTTTTCGTTCAAACGTTACCCTGTCTATAAGGCATAAACACTAAAGACAATTGCAACATTCCCTTCTAGGTTGCAAAAAGGGAGGCGGTTGATTATGGTATATATGGGTATTTAGCTTTCCAGGATGTTTCACTAGTGTGTGTGAAAGCTTTTCAGTCGTATATAGGGCATCCAGAAAGTATTTACAGCGCTTGATTTTTCTTATGTTACAGCCTTATTCCAAATTGGATTAAATTCATTTTTTACCTCAATATTCTACACACAATACCCCATAATGACGAAGTGAAAAAAAGTTTGGTTGAAATTATAGCTAATTTATTAAAAAATTTAAAAATATCACATGAATTCACAGCCCTTGCCATGACATTCAAAATTGAGCTCAGGTGCATTGTGTTTCCACTGATCATCCTTCAGATGTTTCTACAATCTACAACTTGATTGGACTCCATCTGTGATAAATTCAGGTGATTGGACATGATCTGGAAAGGCACACAACTGTCTAAATAAGGTCCCATAGTTGACTGCAACTGTCAGAGCCCAAACCAAGCCATGAAGTACAAGGAATTGTAATTTCAGGATAGTAAGGGTCTTATAATTGAAAATGACATTGACATAGTAAATGAGTTCAATGATAGTTTTGTACGGGTATTCACTGTTGAGGACACTAGTAACTTACCAGTTCTTATTAGTAATCCAACATCGTCTATAACTAATATATACACTCACCTAAA